TTCCTCCTCCTCTCTGGCTGCATTCCTACAGCCATTGAGAAATACTGTGAGAGCTGTGATTGGTAACAGCTTGTCACATGGTACAAGGCTGTTGTGAATAGCCCTGTACCATGTGATCTCTGTGTTCATTCACAGATTTCACTAGTAGTAAGCAATGATGTCAAAAGTGAAATCTTGCTTACTGCTATTCATGTGATCACTGATTGGCCAATCAGTGATCACATGATCGGGACCTCACACAGAGGATCGCGATGACGCATGCTCCCAGGGAGCGCGCACAGGCAGGGAGTGGGGAGGATGTTTATAAACAGCCACCCACCCCTGCACTGCTCCCGTCCGGCCGTTTATATACATGGGCCGGACAGGAAGTGGTGAAGGAGCCTCCATGCTGTTTTAAAAAAAAAAAAATTGTTGGGCAATGCTGACAATTCTTTTTACATGCAGCTGTCAGAGGGGAACCCCACTGACATCGGAAACATCAATGAATGTCTCACTACTAATATACCATATGGCTTAATAATATAACTCATGCGGTATTTTAGTAACGGAGCGGTTTCTTACCACATACTCAGATGCGGTTAGATACCGCTCATTTGTTCGGTTCGTGTTCAAAGTTCACGGTTGAACATTTTGTAGGTTCAGATGTTCGACCGCGAACCGAACCGGGGGGGGGTGTTCGGACCATCACTACTGCTTAATGAAAAAAGACATATATAATGAAAAAGGGCACAATAAAAAGATATTTTCCAATACACAATAGATTTTCTGTACTTTGATTCAACAAAATAATATATCCTTTATTCCGGGTCCTCCACATCACCAAATATACAGCTAACGTAGTACTTCTGCTGTACAACAAAGATTCCTAATTGTCAGATATTTCAGTTTTTTTTTTTTTTTTTTTTTTTACACTGATTGCTTTTACACCCATAAAAGGCTGTAAAAGCAATAATTTCTCCTTCTCACTGGCTGCATTCTTGCAGCCATTGAGAACTACTGTGTGAGCTGTGATTGGTCACAGCTTGCCACATGGTACAAGGCTGTTGTGAATAGCCTTGTACCATGTGACCTCTGATCATTCACAGATTTCACACGTAGTAAGCAATGTCAGAAGTGACATCTTGCTTACTAATCTGCATGTGATCACTGATTGGCCAATCAGTGATCACATGATCAGAATCTCACCAGAGGTCCCGTACAACGAACGATGTTCCGCTGTGTCTCCCAGAGAGCGCGCACAAGCAGGAAAGCGGGGAGAATGTTTGTAAACGGCCACCCGTCCCTGCACTGCTCCTGCTCGGCCGTTTATGTACATGGGCCGGACGGGAAGTGGTTAAGGCCCCTTTCACACAGGGCAGATTCTGTTCTGATTAGCAGGGGATCAGCTCACAAATCTCCTGCTGATCGGAGCAGAGCAAGCTTTGTCTGGACACGTATGTGTCATCTGCTCTATGGGCAGGCAGAAGAACAAGGATTCTGCTATTCATTTACACCCAGCTACCTCCAATCCGATCTGCCTAAACAGATAAGGACAGATCCCCTCCTGTATTTTATTTTTAGCAGACGGGACCGGATCGGACCCTGAGGTCACACAAATGACACAAGTCTGTTTACACCTACTTGTCCATAGGAATGCATGGACCTTCTGATCAGGTCTACCTGAAAAACTGACAGGCGATCGGTGTTTCATTGTGTCTGGAGGACACAGCGGGCACCGGATCGTGGAGCTGTGCGCTCCCAGGGAGCGTGCACAAGCAGGGGGCGGAAAGGCCGTTTATAAACGGCCACCCGCCCCTGCACTGCTACCGTCCGGCCGTTTATATACAACAGCCGGACGGGAGGTGGTTAATATATTTATAAATATAGGGCAGTGATGGCGAACCCGTGGCACGCGTGCCACAGCCGGCACACCGAGCCTTATCTGTGGGCACGCCAGGAGAATCCAGCGGCGCGCTGTCTTCCCGGCTGTAGTGTGCGTGACAGCCGGGTCCCAAGTGCGCATGCACAAGAAGCAGTGCTCTTTGTGAATGGTAAGGCGGTACCTGAGACACATGACAGATCCCAGAAGCCGCCGGACCAATCACAAAGCGCAGCGCTTCTCGCGCATGCGCACTGGGCATCCGGCTGTCCGACGAGCGCCCACACTACAGAAGCCGGGAAGACAGCGCGCGGCTGGATAAAGGAACAGGTAAGATAAAAAAAAAACTCTGCGGAAGTAAGAGCGGGTACCTGTCAAATTCAGGTACCCGCTCCCCCCTCCCCCCCCCCTCCCCAAAGGTCAGCAGTCATCTCTGTACTGTCCGCAGTCTCTGGTCATCCCTGTGCTTTCCGCAGTCTCTGGTCATCCCTGTGCTGTCCGCAGTCTCTGGTCATCTCCTGTACTGTGTCCGCAGTCTCTGGTCATCTCCTGTACTGTCCGCAGTCTCTGGTCATCTCCTGTACTGTGTCCGCAGTCTCTGGTCATCTCCTGTACTGTGTCCGCAGTCTCTGGTCATCTCCTGTACTGTGTCCGCAGTCTCTGGTCATCTCCTGTACTGTGTCCGCAGTCTCTGGTCATCTCCTGTACTGTGTCCGCAGTCTCTGGTCATCTCCTGTACTGTGTCCGCAGTCTCTGGTCATCTCCTGTACTGTGTCCGCAGTCTCTGGTCATCTCCTGTACTGTGTCCGCAGTCTCTGGTCATCTCCTGTACTGTGTCCGCAGTCTCTGGTCATCTCCTGTACTGTGTCCGCAGTCTCTGGTCATCTCCTGTACTGTGTCCGCAGTCTCTGGTCATCCCTGTACTGTGTCCGCAGTCTCTGGTCATCCCTGTACTGTGTCCGCAGTCTCTGGTCATCCCTGTACTGTGTCCGCAGTCTCTGGTCATCCCTGTACTGTGTCCGCAGTCTCTGACCATCCCTGTACTGTGTCCGCAGTCTCTGGTCATCCCTGTACTGTCCGCAGTCTCTGGTCATCTCCTGTACTGTTCGCAGTCTCTGGTCATCTCCTGTACTGTGTCCGCAGTCTCTGGTCATCTCCTGTACTGTGTCCGCAGTCTCTGGTCATCTCCTGTACTGTGTCCGCAGTCTCTGGTCATCTCCTGTACTGTGTCCGCAGTCTCTGGTCATCTCCTGTACTGTGTCCGCAGTCTCTGGTCATCTCCTGTACTGTGTCCGCAGTCTCTGGTCATCTCCTGTACTGTGTCCGCAGTCTCTGGTCATCTCCTGTACTGTCCGCAGTCTCTGGTCATCCCTGTACTGTGTCCGCAGTCTCTGGTCATCCATGTACTGTGTCCGCAGTCTCTGGTCATCCCTGTACTGTGTCCGCAGTCTCTGGTCATCTCCTGTACTGTGTCCGCAGTCTCTGGTCATCCCTGTACTGTCCGCAGTCTCTGGTCATCTCCTGTACTGTGTCCGCAGTCTCTGGTCATCCCTGTACTGTGTCCGCAGTCTCTGGTCATCCCTGTACTGTGTCCGCAGTCTCTGGTCATCCCTGTACTGTGTCCGCAGTCTCTGGTCATCCCTGTACTGTCCGCAGTCTCTGGTCATCCCTGTACTGTGTCCGCAGTCTCTGGTCATCCCTGTACTGTGTCCGCAGTCTCTGGTCATCCCTGTACTGTCCGCAGTCTCTGGTCATCCCTGTACTGTCCGCAGTCTCTGGTCATCTCCTGTACTGTGTCCGCAGTCTCTGGTCATCCCTGTACTGTGTCCGCAGTCTCTGGTCATCCCTGTACTGTGTCCGCAGTCTCTGGTCATCCCTGTACTGTGTCCGCAGTCTCTGGTCATCCCTGTACTGTGTCCGCAGTCTCTGGTCATCCCTGTACTGTGTCCGCAGTCTCTGGTCATCCCTGTACTGTGTCCGCAGTCTCTGGTCATCCCTGTACTGTGTCCGCAGTCTCTGGTCATCCCTGTACTGTGTCCGCAGTCTCTGGTCATCCCTGTACTGTGTCCGCAGTCTCTGGTCATCCCTGTACTGTGTCCGCAGTCTCTGGTCATCCCTGTACTGTGTCCGCAGTCTCTGGTCATCCCTGTACTGTGTCCGCAGTCTCTGGTCATCCCTGTACTGTCCGCAGTCTCTGGTCATCCCTGTACTGTGTCCGCAGTCTCTGGTCATCCCTGTACTGTGTCCGCAGTCTCTGGTCATCCCTGTACTGTGTCCGCAGTCTTTGGTCATCCCTGTACTGTGTCCGCAGTCTCTGGTCATCCCGTACTGTCCGCAGTCTCTGGTCATCCCTGTACTGTGTCCGCAGTCTCTGGTCATCCCGTACTGTCCGCAGTCTCTGGTCATCCCGTACTGTCCGCAGTCTCTGGTCATCCCTGTACTGTTAATTAGTTTGCACTACTGTACAGTTGTTTTTTCTAAACCAAAAGCTCGATATTCAGGTTTCATTGCAGTGTTGGCACTTTGAAAGAAATAAGTTGGTTTTGGGTTGCAGTTTGGGCACTCGGGCTCAAAAAGGTTCGCCATCACTGATATAGGGTCTGTGGATTAAAAATCCCATTTCAGTCTTTGCAGAGGACACCAAGCTGTGCCGTGGAATAACGTCCTTACAAGATGTTTCCAACTTACAAGCCAACCTACAACTGGGGGGGGAGGGGAGTCAATGGTGGAGAAGGATCTGGGGGGGTCAGTGGTGGAGAAGGAGCCAAAGCTGCGGGTTCTAAAGTGAGCAAAATCCTCTCTTGTATTAAAAGAGGTATAGACTCCAGAAAGAGAAAGATAATTTCCCCCGGTACAAATCATTAGTAAGACCTCATCTGGAACATGCAGTTCAATTTTGGCCACCAATTCACAAAAAGAACATTGACCTGGATGGACTTTTGTCTTTTTCCAGCCAGACTAACTATGTAACTATATACAGACTGATTTTACTGTTGTGGGTTTAGTAACACTAACTTGTCACAGCCATTTAATCAGTAGGGGAGGGATCATTGGGTAGGAGACAAGAGAATACTTGGAGGTTTGATCAAACCTTGCACACTCAAAATGAATCAGAACATTTTGGGTAGAGTTGCAATTTAATTTACAAAACTTCCAAATACTCTTCATGGGTTTTCTGATGTCTAAGAAGAGTAGCATTACAGCTGAAAGATTTGGAACACTTGGGACAAGAATAAGGTTTTTCCCCTGAGTGAGTCCTCTGGTGAATGAAAAGATTTGTGGTACGAGTAAAACTTTTCCCACACTGCTGGCATGAAAAAGGCTTCTCCCCAGTGTGAATCCTCTGATGTCTCACTAGAAGTGACTTCCGATTGAATAATTTTCCACAGTCGTTACAGGAAAAAGGTTTTTCCCCAGTATGAATCCTCTGGTGAACCACAAGTGCAGACTTCTGGGAAAAACATTTTTCCACATTCTGAACAGACTGTCCTGTTGGACTCCCTGTGACTTTTCTGATGTTTGACGAGGAACATTTTTGAACAGAATTCCTTCTTGCATACTGGACAGGACCATTTTTCCCCTTTATGTCCCTTTTGATGCTTCATAAGGTCTGATTTTTGGATAAAACTTTTGCTGCAATCCAAGCAAATAAATGGCTTTTTGCCGCTATGGCTTAATTGGTGTCTGATGTAATGAGAACGTTGATTGAAGCATTTCCCACATATGGTACAAGCAAACGGCTTTTCTCCAGTGTGAATCATCTGGTGCCTCATGAGAGCAGACTTTATCCTAAAACGCTTTCCACAATCAGAACACAGATAAAGTTTTTCACCGCTGTGAATTTTCCGGTGACTGACAAAGTGTGATTTGTAAGAGAAATCCTTTCCACAGTCTTTCTTTTGGTTGACCATCTGGTGCCCATCAAGGCCAGAGCTGCAGACTAAGTTCTTCCCGCAGTCAAAAAAGCCTTCCAAGTTGTCCACTTGATGTTCACCATTATGGTAGTTCCCAGCTTGATGTTCCTGAATGTCGACATCACATTCAGCAAGACCGGAAGCACCACCAAAAGATTTTATGGAAACAGAAGACAGGCATACTCTCTCTTCATTGTCCTTTCTTTGATGATTTGGAACATGTGATTCAGAATCATATTTTTTATTGCAGTCAACCCAAGACATATTTCTTCCTTGGTCTGCTTGAGGTCCATTAAGATTTGTAAAACCAGAAAAAGGTTTTGAAGATCTTTCTTTGTGCATTCCTTGATGCTTTGTAAGATGGGATTTACAACTGAATGTTTTCTTACATTCAACACAAGTCCACTCCACCTGACTGTCTATCTGTTGATTGCTAGAGCTACCAGTCAAAGATTTTGGATTTTTTGAGGTATTTGGGTGTGTTCCTCGCCCAGAAAAATTGCCTAACTTTTTGTCAAAATCTGTAACAGTTGTGTTGACCTTGGTCACTGGTGCTTGAATATTTAAAGCATTTGTGTTGTAAGTAGATGGCCACTTGGTCTGTGTTCCCTTTGTGGCTTCCAGCTGCCCACCTTGACACAAGTCATCAGGATCATATCCACTTTGGGTGCCAACAGTGTCTGTCTGCTTATTTGTTAGGGTCAAAACTCCACAATCTCTGTTACTGGCTCCTTCTACTATGGAATTGTTTTGTGACTTACATTCAGCCAAAGGTCTTTCTTTATCAACAGTTTTTGTACATTGTGCTACCAAACCATTAGAGGCTTCTGACTTGGGTAACAGTGTCAAGCTTCCGGCTTCAGAGCCATCTGTTAGGAACACATATGAAAGTTTAATAGAATAGTTTAGGGTAATGAAAAATTGATGGACAATGTTCAAACCATGAAGACTCACACCATTCAAAATTAAAATGTATATTTTGAAGGACACTGGTGATTTACATTACTTATCTGCCTCTTAGATCTCCAAAGCTGGCCATACAAATTGCAGTCCTCTTGTATTAATACAAATAAACCTGGCGTAGCCGTAATCTGCATAAATCATACAACATGGCCTGCAGTGTTGCTAGATGCTACGTATAGGTGGTCAAGGTGTCACTTAGAAAAATGGTTCAGTTATTCTAGTATTAACCACCTCATTTCCTGAATCCCCTTCATGGCCAGGCCATTTTTTTGATATTCAGCACTGCGCTACTTTAACTGGTAATTGCACAGTCATTCAGTGCTGTACCCAAACTAAATTTCTATCATTTCTTTTCACAAACATAGGACTTGCTTTTGGTGGTATTTGGTCACAATTGGGTTTTTTATTTTTTTGCAATATAAATGAAAAAAGACCGAAAATTTTAAAAAAAAAAAACAATATTTTTTACTTCTAATAAACAAATTTAAAACATCAAAATGTATTCTGCTACATGTCTTTGGTAAAACAAATCCCAATAAGTGTATAATTAATTGGTTTGCATGAAAGTTTTACAAATACCGGAATTTTTTTTTATACTACTAATGGCGGTGATCAGCGACTTATAATGGGACTGCGATAGTGCGACAGGCAATCTAACACTAACTGTAACTGACATCACCAGTGTCACTAATACAGTGATCATACTATACACTGTCGCTGTACTAATGACACTGGCTGGGAAGGGGTTAACATCTAGGGCAATTGAGAGATTAAATGTGTACCTAACAATCTGCCATGTGTGCTGCTTTTACTAACAGATTTCTTAGTTTCTTATTCCTGCTTTGGAGGAAGAAGAAACAAAGATCTTCCTTCTGTACAGCGCACTGTGTTGATTGTCAAGACAGGGCTCTTGGCTGTGATTGGACACAGCCTATCAGCAGGTCCCAGCCATGAATCATTGCTGACAGACTGTGTACAATTACAGTAGGTGTCAGCGGGCAGGGGCGCGCACATGCGCACGCCCTATACCTGCATGGCCCACCCATCTGCAGCATGTGGCGGGAGGTCCTTAAGTGGTTAAACTGCATAGAGCTCAAATGCAGATCTGGCTGGAGAGGAATTGAGCATTTGTACCCAGGACACACTATAACACAGGTGTCAAACTGGCCAAATTTGGGGTGCAGAAGTTTGCCGCCATTTCATAGGCGCATGTAATATAAAGGCTTGACATGTTTACTATCCAGGGCTTTTTTCAGCAGGAATGTGTGGGAACGCAGTTCTGTCACCTCCAGCACTGAATGTACACAGTTCAAAAAAATTAAAAGAACACTTTTTAATCGGAATATAACATCAAGTCAGTTAAACTCCTGGGATATTGATCTGGTCAGGTAAGTTGCTGAGGGAGTTGTTAATCAGTTTCAGCTGCTTTGGTGTTAATGAAATTAACAACAGGTGCACTATATAGGCAACAATGAGACAACCCCCAAAACAGGAATGGTTTTACAGCTGGAGGACACTGACATTTTTTTTCCCAACTCATCACTTCTGACTATTTTTCACTAGTTTTGCATTTGGCTAGGGTCAGTGTCACACTACTGGTAGCATGAGGCCATATCTGGACCCTACAGAGGTTGCACAGGCAGTCCAACTCCTCCAGGATGGCACATCAATACGAGCCATTGCCAGAAGGTTTGCTGTGTCTCCCAGAACAGCCTCAAGAGCATGGAGGAGATTCCAGGAGACAGTTACTCTGGGAGAGCTGGACAGGGCCATAGAAGGTCCTTAACCCATCAGCAGGACCGGTATCTGCTCCTTTGTGTGAGGAGATACAGGATGAGCCCTGCCAGAGCCCTACAAAATGACCTCCAGCAGGCCACTGGTGTGAATGTCTCTGACCAATCAGAAACAGACTTCATGAGGGTAGCCTGAGGCCCGACGTCCTCTAGTGGGCCCTGTGCTCACTGCTCGGCACCATAGAGCTCGACTGGCATTTGCCATTGAACCCCAGAATTGGCAGGTCCACCACTGGCGCCCTGTGCTTTTCACAGATAAGAGAAGGTTCACCCTTAGCACATGTGACAGACGTGAAAGGGTCAGGAGAAGCCGTGGAGAACGTTCTGCTGCCTGTAACATGGTTCAGTATGACCGTTTTGGTGGTGAATCAGTGATGGTCTGGGGAGGCATAGCCATTTAGAGCTCTACAGGCTAGACAATGGCACCCTGACTGCCATGAGGTATCGGGATGAAATCCTTGGACCCATTGTCAGACCCTACGCTGGTGCAGTGGGTCCTGGGTTCCTCCTGGTGCACGATAATGCCCGGCCTCATCTGGTGAGTGTATACAGGCAGTTCCTGGAAGATGAAGGAACGGATACCATTGAATGGCCCCCACGCTCGCCTGACCTAAATCCAATAGAACACCTCTGGGATGTGATGTCTCGGTCCATCCGACGCCACCAGGTTGCTCCTCAGACTGTCCAGGAGCTCAGTGATGGCCTGGTCCAGATCTGGGAGGAAATATCCCAGGACACCATCCGTCATCTCATTAGAAGCATGCCCCGATGTTGTCAGGGATGCATACAAGCACGTGGGGGCCATACAAACTACTGAGGACCATTTTGAGTTGCTGCAATGACATTTCACCAAAATGGACTCGCCTGCTGCATCATTTCTTCACTTTGTTTTTCGGGGTGTCTTTGAATTCAGTCCTCTGTAGGTCGATCATTTTCATTTCCATCAAACGATGGGGCATCCTTACATTCCTAACACATGACCCAGTCCATATCAGTATAGATATCCAGCTGGAGCTTTTTCTCCATTGAGTTCTGACGTATTTTCAAAGTGTCCCTTTAATTTTTTTGAGCAGTGTATGTAATGGCAAGGGGTGCTGAGGTGTGCTGGAGGGTTTATTGATGCTGGCTGCTGGGGGATCTAGTTTTGCTGGTGTGGGTCAATTGTTGCTCTGAGGGATCTATTAAGGGAGGTCTATTGATGCTGGCTGCTGAGGGATCTATTTTTGCTGCTGAGGGATCTATTTTTTTGCTGGGGGTCTATTGTTGTGGGGGGATATATTAGTTTCTGGCTGCAGGAGATCAATTTTGCTGCTTTTACTGTTATCATTAAACAAATTCCATACAAATTGCCTAGCACTAGGGATGCATCAAAATTTAGGTGACCAAAACATTTTGACCGAAAACACCCCTTTTGGCCGTTGGCCAAAATGAAAAAAGCACCAATACAGGTGCCGAAAAAAAAAAAACCCACCCCTGGACGCCGCCCGGTAGTTCTCAGCCTTACCTGAGAAACCATCGATCCCGGTACTGGGCATAGAGATGAGCAAAGGAAAGATGGCCGCCACTCATCTCTTTGCCATTGGAGGACCGGAGCGATGTCACTTCCTGTTCCAGCCTTTTTTTTTTTTAAAGCACTAGATCAATGCTTTTTTTTTTAATCTAACGCTTTACATTGTAGAGGAGAGATGTGGGGTCTTGCTGACCCCATATCTCTCCATAAAGAGGACCTGTCACTAATTATTTCTATCACATGGGATGCATGAATTCCTTGTGATAGGAATAAAGGTGATTACATTTTTTTTTAAAGAGACAGTGCAAAAAAAAAAAAAAAAAAAAAACCATTAAATTAATTTAAAAAAAGAAAGTTTAAAGTGCCCCCGCCCACCCCCCCCGTGCTCACACGTAGTGGTGAACGCATACATAGGCCACACCCACATATGTAAACGGTGTTCAAACCACACACGTGAGGTATCGCCATGAACGTCAGAGCAAGAGCAATAATTCTCGCACTAGACCTCCTCTGTAACGTCACACTGCTAACCTGTAGAAATTTTTTAAAGCGTCACCCATGGAGATCTTTAAGTACCGCAGTTTCACGCCATTCCTTGAGCGTGTGCAGTTTTAAAGTGTGACATGTTGGGTATCCATTTACTCGCCGTAACATCCTCTTACATATTTTAAAAAACAATTGGGGTATATATTGTTTTTTTTTTTTTTTTTTTTAATCAGTGTATTTTTTTCCAAAAAAAAAACTATATATTCATTTTTAAAAACTGCGCGTTTGGGTTTCGGGTTTAAGCCAAGTGCATTTTGAATTTTCGTTTTTGACGCCAGAATTTTCCTTTTGGTGCACCACTACTACATGACACAAAATGATACTTGGTTGTGTTTTCTAAAAGGGGCGGTACTGGGAGGTAGGTAGGGAATGGAACCAAAGGATGGTGTTTGGAGGTGGGTAGGGGAGGAAACAAGGGATGATTCAGAAGAGGATTTCCTGCACCTATCCTATGAGGGAAAAAAAAGCCTTATTGGCATCTATTTGTACTCACAAGGGCTCCAGGCAGAGCAGTATATCACATAAAATCC